CTACCTTCTGCCATTTTTCAGGCAACTTCATAATTCCATCTTCCCAAAATTTTAAATCTTTTTGAGCAAAGACCTGTTCCAGGCGCCTTTTACAGTCTTCCAAGGAACTGACATTTTTTCCATTAAGAGAATTTTGTAAAGACCGAAATAAATGGAAATCCGAAGGTGCAATGTCTGTTGAATACAGCGGACGAATCAGAACTTCCCAGCCAAGCTGTAACAGTTTTTTCCTGGTCATCAAAGAAACATGCAGTCTTGTGGTACCCTGATGGAAGATTATGCGTTTTCTGTTGGCTAATTCTGGGCCCTTTTCATCGAGCGCTGCTTTCAGTTGATCTAATTGGGAGCAGTACTTGTTGGAATTAATCGTTTGGTTTTCCGGAAGGAGCTCATAATAGAGAACTCCCTTCCAATCCCTCCATATACACAACATGACCTTCTTTGGATGAAGACCAGGCTTTGGTGTGGCTGGTGGTGGTTCATTTCACTTGCCCCATGATCTCTTCCATTCCACATTATTGTACAGTATCACTTTTCATTGCCCGTCACAATTAGTTTTAAAAATGGAACATTTTCATTATGCTTCAGTAGAGAATCTCATGTGGAAATATGGTCAAGAAGGTTTTTTTGCTTAACTTATGTGGAACCCAAACATCAAAGCGATGAACATAACCAAGCTGGTGCAAATGATTTTCAACGCTTGATTTGGATATTTTGAGTATGTTGGCTATATCCTGTGTGGTATAACGTTGATTGTTCTCATTAATGTCTTAATTGATCGCTATCAACTTCAACTTGTCTACCTGACGGTGGAGCATTGTCCAGCAAGAAATCTCCAGCATGAAATTTTGCAAACCACTTTTTTTTTTTCTTAAAGAAGATGTTGGGGGTAGGAATTAATTAATTAATTAATTTACTTTTTTTTTTTTTGGCTGTGTTGCGTCTTCGTTTCTGCGCGAGGGCTTTCTCTAGTTGTGGCAAGCGGGGGCCACTCTTCATCGCGGTGCGCGGGCCCCTCACTATCGCGGCCTCTCCTGTTGCAGAGCACAGGCTCCAGACGCGCAGGCTCAGTAGTTGTGGCTCACGGGCCCAGTTGCTCCGCGGCATGTGGGATCCTCCCAGACCAGGGCTTGAACCCGTGTCCCCTGCACTAGCAGGCAGACTCTCAACTACTGCGCCACCAGGGAAGCCCCTGCAAACCACTTTTGACATGTTCAATCAGTCACAGCACCTTCTCCATACACTGCACAAATCTTTTTCTACATTTCAGTTGTGTTTTTACCTTTCTTGAAATAATAAAGTATAATATACCAAAAAGGTTGCTTTTTTTCTTCCATGTTCAATATTCAAATGGCTACACAAAAATTCACCAATTTTGATAAGTCTTTTTTAAAATGCATACTGATATGACAGCTGTCACATACAATCTAACAACATTGTTTCGAATGAAGTTAAAGACAACTAAGTGCTACTATAGCCATCTTACAGAAAAAAACAAACGAACTTTTTAGCCCACCCATTATTTTCAATATTTTGCTTCTACCACCACCAGCTTAAAAAAAAAAAATCAAACCAAATGGAAAATGTGTATCCATTGAGAAATAATCCCCCATTCCCCTCTCTGTCCAGCCCCTGGAAACCTCTACTTTCAGTCTGTACAAGCTTGTCTATTCTAGATATTGCTTACAAGTGGAATCGTACAATATTTTTCCTTTCATGTCCGGCTTTGTTTGGCATGTTTTAAAGGTTCATCGTATTGTGGCATGTATCAGAACTTTATTCCTTTTCATGACTGAATAATATTCCAATGTATGAATGTACCACATTTAAAAATCTATTCATGTGTTAATGGACACTTCAGTTGTTACCACCTTTTGGCTATTGTGAATAATGTTGCTATGAAAATTGTTTACACGAATGTGTTTGAGTCCCTGCTTTCAATTCTTTCAGGTTTCCCAAGGAGTGGAATTGCTGAGTCCAGTGGCATTTCTGTATTAAGTTTTTGAGGAGCTGCTAAACCGATTTTCATATTATTAAACTGTTTTTCACATTGCAGCATTTTACATTCCCATCAGCAATGTGCGAGTGTTCCAATTTCTCCACAGCCTCATCCATACTTGTTATTTCCCCTTTTCCCCCCATAGTCATCCTGGTAGATGTAAACTCGTATCTCACGGTTTTGCTTAGAATTTCCCAGGTGTATTAATGATGTTGACATTTTACTGAAAAACAGGAGTATTTTACTCCTGTTTTTATTGATCCTTTATTTTACAGTAATTTACTCCTGTGATCCTTTTCCTCCATTTTCCCCTCTCTTCTGACCTCCCATCGGTGAACAAACATGGACTGATACCTACTTTCTTAATGGGAAAACTCCCTTTCGCCCACCACCTCCTTAAAGCTTTATCTGTTCCATTTTCTGAGGCTCCCTGGCTCCTCTTCCCCCCTGCCCATCCCAGTCGGGCTTACCGCCCACATGTTAAATTCCTTTCCTCATAGTGTCTCTTCTATTCCCCAAATAAGTCAGGGAAAGCCATCTTTCTTTCTGTGAGTAAATTGCGCATAGCAAAACTGATTGCAATAGGATGTAGACATATCTTATTAGGAACAGAAGTAGTATATAATATGACTTGAGCCTGTCATTTTGGGATTTTCCTCCCCTCTTATTCAGCTCAAAAAATAATTTCCTTAACTCCAGTAAGTCTCTTTCTAGAAGGGGCTCCTACTCAAATCATATTTCTTCCAGCCTTTAAATTATTTGGAAGTTTCATGCTGTACTATGTGGATTTCCATGTAGTCAAATCTCAGGGCAGAGGAGGATTGAATTCCTGTGTGGACCTGACCGAAAATGGTATGTGAGCAATGAAGATGCCTCAGAAACCTGCATGGGGTCACCAGGGTGTCTGGAAGAAAGCTAAACTGTGCCTGTTCAGCGTGAAACTTCACAGGGATGCACAGAGAACTGCGGCTAGGGCTGAGAACTGGCCGGAGATTGCACAGGCTGCACAGCGCCGGTGATATTAGAATCTTGACCGACCAGAGTGGGGATACCTCCCTGAACAGCTTAGGTGGTCAGCGGAGACCCCAGAAAGGCTTCACCTAGGAGTAACAGGGTGCCCTAATATATATGCTCCTACCCTGGTCAGGCAGCATTGCAGCAGCTGGTGGAGGGGCAAGGAGGAAATGAGAGCAGCAACGATCCCCTAGCTGCCTGCATTTAGGCTTTGACGGTGGGCTACTTCTCCATAGGGGTTTCCTAGTCTAGGAATTCTCTTCAAGTACTTTACAACCCTCTCTTTTAATAACGGGATGAGTTATGCTTCAGCAGAATCGCGCATTGAATTGTGTTGCTTTTCCAGACACACCGACTCTGGGAAGACGTGCAGGTGGGGGCGGTGGGGGAACCTCTGCCAGCCTACCCCATCTGCAGCAGGGCCTCCCTCAGAAGGACCCTCGCCCAAGCGCAGGCTGGTCTAGGGTCCTCCCTGTGCTCCACGCTGGGGGGGTGGTTCTGCGACAATCTCTCCCTGCTCCCGTGTTCCAAGGGAACCCCGTTAGTTCTTTTCCTCCAGGAACAGATGCACTTCAAGGCAGCGAAGCCATGTGTGATCTGAGGTTGCATCTTGGAGAGGACAATGAGGCCTAGGCACAGTGGGTGTGGCAGGAGGGACAGGCTGCAACTCCGGACCCTACAGTGCCCGCTGGCTGCGGGCTCACAGTGACTCAGGCAGAGGAGGGGGGCGCGGGAGCCGGAGGAGACATCCAGGGAGAGTGGGCACCTCCGTGGACGTCTTTAATGGCACTCCCCTTGGGGTTGAGTCTCCATTCCTGGCCGCAGAGTCTGCGGTCCCCCCTTTTCACCTAAGGGCCGAATCCCAACTTTCACACGCAGCCGCCAGGGGGCGCCGGCCGGTCCAGGAGAGATGCGGGCTGCGAGTTGCCCTGGAGCCTTTCCCCGAGGGAGAACAGGGAGCTGTGGGGACGCTCAAAGGGCCTCCAGACCCTGCGGAGGCTCCCGGGTTCACCAGAGTCCTCCTGGGAAGGGTCAACCTGGAGCCCCCTGACGGTCTCCCCAGGCCCCTCTGGGCTTCAGGAGCGAGGTCTCTACTGCTGGTCCCAGGACGAAGGTCCTCACCCCTCCCCCTACAGAGGTCAAGCGCACACCCTGGTCGCCAGCGACAAGTCCGCGCTGCTCTCCGGAAGCCGAGTCCCCGCCTGACGTCCTCGAGACAGAGTCTCAACTTTTCGCCTACAAAGTCAACTCCCGACCTTTCCAGGCGACACCCCAGGAGGCGCAGCCAAACCTGCCAACCCTGATCTCGTCAGATCACGAGCCCGTTTTGCGGTCAGGGGTCGGAGAGGGGTGGGAGCGGCTCTCACACCAGGGAGGGAACTCAGGACTTTTCGCAAAGGGTGCTGACTGTGTCTTCCCCCAACCCCCGCGCCGGAGGAGACCTCCCATGTAGCCCGCGACCACCCGGGTCAGCGTAGGGGTTCCCATGTGGGGTCGAAGCGTCGCCGACCCCTCATCCGGACACTTTCCGGGCAACCTCCGTACAGGCCCACAGGGTAGACCGCCGCCCGGGCCATAGAGCCCTAACACGGCCTCCGAGACTCCGCGATCTCGGTGTGGGCGTCCTCCTCTGTGGCTGGTGGGGCCATGGGAACTACGCTACCCACAATGCCGGAGGACGGGGGCCAAGACTAGCAGCCAATGAACGCCCGAAAGCAGGGCGTTTTCTCGTTCGGACCAGAGGATGTGGGTGGGACTTCCGGCGCCGCTGTTGTGGCAGTCACTATGGCTGCTCCAGTGTCCAACCGCGATACGAGTACTTTAGGAGAGCGGTGTCAGGATCAGGGTGACCAGATCGAGGAGGCTTTAGGGGAGAGGTTGTCCCCACTGCGCAGCGGCGAGTCTGCAGAGCCGCGGCGGTAGATGATTGTACACGAGTTCCGTCTCTGTCGCCCACCACCTAAGACCCCTCTCCTCCCAGACTCCGATGGCGGCGGCCGCGCCGAGGGACCCGCCTCAGGTAAACGCTCGTCCTACGGGCCCTGACCACCCTCACCCCACCAGACACTAAAGACCCAAGTGCGGGGCGTCTGCTCATGTCTATGTAGTATAGATCCCAGTGTCCAGCAGAGTGAGGATCTCATGGGTGGAGTCCCCATATCTAAAAAACAGTGTGATGAGATGTTGGGAGAGTGTTACAGGCAGAGGGACCGGTTTATGTAAAGTTGTGCAGGGGCAATTGAGCCAGAATCATTCCCACTTGGAATGGCAAGTTGAGGAGTTTTAATCTCAGGACGGTATGGAGGGTTGTGAATAGAAGAGGCACATGGTGTGAGTTAGGCTTTTCAAATTTTCCAGAAGTTGCTCAGAGTAAGAACAGACTGGAAAGGGGATGAAAACACTGAGGCACAGGGCGGTTGAGTTTTTATCCAAGATCATACAGTTGTAAGAGCACTAAGAACAGAGGCTCAGAGATAATGCAGTCATCCCAGGTCACCTTGCTCCAGGGCTGGACAGGGGTACAGGGAGACCTGAGCCTACTGAGCCTGCCATGATTACATCCCTCTAATGACCTCCCTCTTCCTACAGACTCCCATGACTACAGAAGTGCTTATGGACTGTACAAAGGTGAGTGGAGGATATTCCAGGCCTTCAATGGTCCTGACCCACCCTTTGTCTCTGGGATTGTGTCCTGGGATTTTTCCAGTCCATGGACCTGGAGACCCTGAAGAAACCCCAAGCCCACATTTGGTTGTCTCTGGGAGGCACAATTTGGGACTCCAGGGGAATTACCTGACAAGAGGGTATATGCCCTAATGCCAGGCTCAGAGTTTAGATGGCGTCTCCCTACCCACGTGCTTGTTGTTGGTGTGGGCAGACACAGTGATCTTGATACCATGAGAAGAGAACAGGTATCTGAGGCCCCAGGGCCTGATATTTCCTCTAAGGTGGGGACACTGGAAGGAGGATGAGCAGGGGATGGATGTCTGGGTGAAGGAACTTGGGTCCTAGGAGAGAAGTTGATCATGGAATGATCTGTCCTTATCCTGGCAGGGCTGTGTGACCTTTGAGGACGTGGCCATTTACTTCTCGCAGGAGGAGTGGGGGCTCCTTGATGAGGCTCAGAGATGCCTGTACCACAAGGTGATGCTGGAGAACTTTTTACTTACAGCCTCAATGGGTAAGGCCCTCACCCAAGGGTCCTGGTCTCTATCTTACCTTCTGTCCCCCAGAGGCAGCTCTGCCCTTTCCACAGACAGACCATGGGCTCTACTTCCCCACTTTCTTGGCATATGTGTTGTGGGTACCAGTGCTGAGCTGTGTGCACTGCCTGCCCCAAGTAGTTCTGAATTCTGTTGCACCAAGCTTGCAGGGAAGGATCTCGGATTTCGGAGTCTTGCAGTCAGCCTAAAACAAAGCATCTCACCTTGTTTGCCCTCACCCTGGCAGAATGAATGTGTCCAGATCCATGACACCTGGTGTCCCAAGTTCTGATTGAGTCAGTAATTTTAATAATATATATAATTAGTATTTAACAATATGTATATATGATATATAATTTTTACTGATGTTAGGTATGGGGTCCTGATGGATGGGACCACAATATTATAGTAATCCACCATGAGGCACCTTTAATTTTTCCATATTTAAGGACAGACATAATTGGGCTTTAGAATGGAAAAGCAGTGAGGATAATCACCCCTTCATTTATTAGATTTTCTATAATAAGTTTTAATCCTTGAAGGCCCTGTTTTAACATACATTGGGCTATATTAACTATTTTAACTGGGTGGCCTGTGAAGTACCATTTTATTAAGCCAATTTGTGTCAAAGACATGTTAATTTAAATTTATTATTCAGCATGTTAGAGCAGCTGTGCCCAATATGGGATAGTTTTGGGTGCTATGACATTGGAAAATTTAAGAAAGGCTACAGTTCAAGTGAGACATACCTATTTTTCTCTGTTTTGTATTTAGTTACATTCCTAAGAGTATACAGTTATGCTGTGTAAAAATAGTGTAATCCTGGGACTTACCTGACTGTCCTGTGGTTAAGACTCTGTCCTTCCACTGCAGGGGGTGTGGGTTTGATCCCTGGTCGGGGAATTAAGATCCTGCATGCTGTGTGGCCAAAAAAGTAGTGGAATCCTCACATATAATTTGAGCCCCACTAATAATTACGTTTACGAAGTTTGACCATTGGTCCCTTTTAGTAAATGTTAAAAGTTATTTATTTATTTATATTTAAACCATTATATTTAAACCATTGTACTAAGGAATGATTGACATTTAAAAAGGTGTACACATTTCCTGGATACAACTCAATAAGTTTGGGAATAAGTATACATCCTTGAAACCATCACCACCATCAAGACCATAAACATATCCACTGCCTCCCACCCCTTTATTATTATCATCATCATTATTAATTTGTGTGTGTGTGTGTGTGTGTGTGTGTGTGTGTGTGTGTGGTAAGAACACTTAGGTTGCTTCCATATCTTAACTATTGTAAATAATGCTGCAATGAACAGAGGGGTGCATATATCTTTTCAAATTAGTGTTTTTGTTTTGTTCAGAGAAGTACCCAGAAGTGGAATTGCTGGATTGTATGGTTGTTCTATTTTTAATTTTTTGAGGAGTCCCCATATTGTTTTCCATAGTGGCTGCAACAATTTACATTCCCACCAATAGTGCATAAGCGTTCCCTTTTCTCCACATCCTCACCAGCACTTGTTATTTGTTGTCTTGGTAACAGCCATTCTGAGAGGTGTGAGGTGATACCTCATGTGGTTTGATTTGCATTTCCTTGATGGTTAGTGATGTTGAACATCGTTTCATGTGTCTGTTGGCCATCTGTATGTCTCTTCTTTGGAAAAAAGTCCATTCACATCCTCTGCTCATTTTTTAATTGGGTTGTTTGTTTTCTTTGATATTGAGTTTACATGTAAGTTGTTTCTTTTTTTACATGTAAGTTTTTAATCCATTTTGAGTTGTTTTTGTGTATGGTGTAAGGTAATGGTCCAATTTCATTCTTTTGCATGTAGATATCCAGTTTTCCCAGCACCATTTATTGAACAGGCTACCCTTTTCTAGTTTGTATTCTTGGCCCCCTTCGCAAACATTAGTTGACCATATATGCAGAGGGTTATTTCTGTGCTCTCTATTCTGTTCCATTGGTCTATGTGTCTGTTTTTATGCCAGTACTATACTATTTTGATTACTGTAGCTTTGTAATATATATAATTTGAAATCAAGAAGTGTGATGGGGCTTCCCTGGTGGCGCAGTGGTTGAGAGTCCGCCTGCCGATGCAGGGGACATGGGTTTGTGCCCCAGTCCGGGAAGATCCCACATGCCACGGAGCAGCTGGGCCCGTGAGCCATGGCCGCTGAGCCTGTGCGTCCAGAGCCTGTATGCCACAACAGTGATAGACCCGCGTACCGCAAAAAATAAAGAAGTGTGATGCCTCTAGGTTTGTTCTTCTTGCTTAAGAATGCCTTGGCTATTCAGGGTCTTTTGTGGTTCCATATGAATTTTAGGATTGTTCTTTTTCTACTTCGGTGAAAAATGCCATTGGCATTTTGAAAAGGGTTGCATTGAGTCTGTAGATAGCTTTGGGTAGTATATTTAAGAATATTAATTTTTCCAATCCATGAACAGAGGACCTCTTGCCATTTAGTTCTGTCTTTAATATTTTTCATCAATGTTTTATAGTTTTCAGTGTAAAGATCCTTTCACCTCCATGTTTAAATCTCTTCCTAAGGGTGTTTTTTGTTTTGTTTTTTTATTATCGTAAAAGGAATTGGTTCTTAGTTGTTTTTTTTGTTTTTGGGGGTTTTTTTTGCGGTACACGGGCCTCTCACTGTTGTGGCCTCTCCTGTTGCGGAGCACAGGCTCCGGACATGCAGGCTCAGCGGCCATGGCTCACAGGCCCAGCCGCTCCGTGGCACGTGGTATCCTCCCAGACTGGGGCACAAACCTGCATCCCCTGCATCGGCAGGTGGACTCTCAACCACTGTGCTACCAGGGAAGCCCCAATTCTTAGTTTCTTTTTTGCATAGTTTGTTTTTAGGGTATAGAAATGCAACTGATTTTTGTATGTTGATTTTGTATCCTGCAACTTCACTGAATTTGTTTATTCTAACAGGTTTTTGGTGTAGTCTTCAGGGTTTTCTGTATGTAAGATTATGTCACCCACAAACAGAGATGATTTTATTTCTTCCTTTCTGGTTTGGACGCCTCTTATTTCTTTTTCTTGCCCAGTTACTCTGCTTAGGACTTCTAGTACTGTGTTGAATAGAGGTGGTGAGAGTGGTCATCTTTGTTATGTTCCTGATCTTTGCAAAAAAGCTTTCAGCTTTTCACCATTGAGTATGATCTTGGCTGTGGGCTTGTCATATATGGCCTTTATTATGTTGTATATAACAAAAGCTTTCTGTATCAAGTTTGTTGAGAGTTTTTATTATGAAAGGATGTTAAATTTTGAGATATGCTTTTTCTATATCTATTGAGATGACTATCTGATTTTTATCCTTCTTTCTATTAATGTGGTATATCACATTTATTGTGTTTGCTGAAATGTCTTTGCATCCCAAAGGTAAATCCAAGTTGAACATGTTGTATGATACTTTTTTAAAAAAAATTAATTTATTTATTTATTTATTTTTGGCTGTGTAGGGTCTTTGTTGCTGTGTGTGGGCTTTCTCTAGTTGCAGTGAGCAGGGGCTACTCTTCGTTGTGGTGCACGGGTTTCTCATTGTCGTGGCTTCTCTTATTGCGGAGCACAGGCTCTAGGTGCGCAGGCTTCAGTAGTTGTGGCACATGGGCTCAGTAGTTGTGGCTTGTGGTCTCTAGAGCTCAGGCTCCATAGTTGTGGCACACGGGCTTAGTTGCTTTGCGGCATGTGGGATCTTCCCAGGCCAGGGCTTGAACCCGTGTTCCTTGCATTGGCAGGCAGATTCTTAACCACTGCCCCACCAGGAAAGCCCTGTATGATACTTTTAATGTGCTGTTGAATTTGGTTTACTGTATTTTGTTGAGGATTTTTGCATCTATGTTCCTCAGGGATATTGGCCTTTGATTTTCTTGTGTTGTAGTGTTCTTATCTGACTTTGGTGTAAGGGTGATACTAGCTTTGTAAAATGAGTTTTGATGTGTCCCCTCCTCTTCAGTTTTTTGGTATTAAATGTTTCATAGAATTTACCAGTGAAACCATCAAACACTGGGATTTTCTTTTGGGGGAGGTTTATTATTACTGATCCAATATCCTTACTCATTATTGGTCTCTGATTTTCTGTTTCTTCAAAATTAAATCTTGGTAGGTTGTATATTTCTAGGAATGTATCCATTTCTTCTAGGTTATCCAATTTTTTGGTGTATAATTATTCATAATAGTGTCTTATGATCCTTGTATTTCTGTGGGATCAATTGTGATGTTTCCTCTTTCATTTATAATTTTATTTATTTGAGTCCTCTCTTTTTTTCCTTAGTCTATCTAAGAGGTTTGTCAATTTTATCTTTTTCAAAAAATCTTAGTTTTGATCTTTTCTATTGTTTTTCTAGTCTCTATTTTGTTTATTTCCACTTTTATCTTTACTGTTTCCCTCCTTCTGATAAGATTGTGCTTTGTTCTTTTTCTAGTCTTTGAAGTGTGAAGATAGTGTGTTTACGATCTTTCTTTTTTTCTTAGTGTAGATATGTATCTGCTATAAAACCTTCCCCTTTTAGAACTGCTTTTGCTGGGTGCCGTAAGTTTTGGTATTTTGTGTTTCCATTTTCATTTGTCTCAATATATTTTTTGATTTCCCTTTTGATTTCATCTTTGACTTACTGGTTGTTCAAAAGTGTGTTATTTAATTTCCACATATTTGTGAATCTTCCAATTCTCCTCCTGTCATTATTTTCTACGTTTATCTTATTTTGGTCAGAAAAGATATTCGATATGATTTCAGTTTTCTTAAATTGCTTAAGACTTGTTTTGTAGCCTACCATATGATCTATCCTGGAGAATTTTCCCTGCAGTCTTGAGTAGTGTGTATTCTGTATTCGATGAAATATTCTATATATGTCTGTTAGATACATTTTGTTTATAGTGTTCAAATCCACTGTTTCCCTGGCCATGAAGGTTTTTTGGGTTTTTTTTGTTTTTTTTGGGGGGGGGTACATGGGCCTCTCACTGTTGTGGCCTCTCCCATTGTGGAGCACAGGCTCTAGACGTGCAGGCTCAGCAGCCATAGCTCACGGGCCCAGCTGCTCCGTGGCATGGGGGACCTTCCCGGACTGGGGCACAAACCCATGTCCCCTGCATTGGCAGGCGGACTCTCAACCACTGCGCCACCAGGGAAGCCCATGAAGGTTTTTTAAGATGTCAAAACATCATATTATACAGAAAGCTTAAAAAAGAACATTAAATAAAGCAAACTGTCAACAAGTAAAAATAAACACAATTATAAAAAAAAAAAAAAAAAGAACATAATTAATACTCTCCCACCATAATCAGCATGATTCACAAATATTTCTCTTCTTTCAGTTTGTTTGCATGGAACAGAGAAGAAAGAGACACCTTCTGAGCAAAATGTTTCCCTAGAAGTTTTGTCACAGGTCAGGACTCCAAAGGTAGGTCCAATCAGCCAGAAGGCTCACCTCTGTGTGAAGTGTGTCCCGATCCTGAAAGACATTTTGCACTTGGCTTACCTACCTGGGCAGAAACCATACTTGACTGGGCCATGTGCAAACCTACGACAGCTTCAGAAGCATTTCAGTGCAAAGAAAAGTGACATGGATAGGGCATCAATTGTAAAGAGTTGCATATTCCATGTGTCAGGGCATCCCTTCACCTGTAGGAAGGTTGGAAAGGACTTCCCAGCTACTTTGGGTCTTCTCCAGCACCAGATCACTCCCACTGGTAAGAAACCCAACAAAATCACCAAGTGTGGGGAGGCCTTTCATGGTAGGAAAAGTCATTACAAGTTGCGTGAATGTGGGAAAGCTTCCAGCTACAAACAGAGTCTTGTTTACCACCCAAGAGTCTCTACTAGGAAAAGGGTTTATGAGTCTAGCAAATATGGGAAAGCCTTGCGCAGTAAGTACTCACTTGTTCAGCTCCAGAGAGTCCACACTGGAGAAAGGCCTTACGAGTGCAGTGAATGTGGAAAATCTTTTAGACAAAGAGCCACCCTCATTATACACCAGAGAGTTCACACTGGAGAAAGGCCTTATAAATGTGGTGAGTGTGGAAAATCCTTTAGTCAGTGCTCCAATCTTATTGAACACTGCAGAATTCACAGTGGAGAAAGGCCTTATGGGTGTAAGGAATGTGGAAAAGCCTTTGGGTGCAAATCCAATCTTGTTCGGCACCAGAGAACCCACACTGGAGAAAAGCCTTATGAGTGCAGCGAATGTGGGAAATTCTTTAGACAAAGCTTCACCCTTGTTCAACACCGGAGAATTCACACCACAGCAAGGCCTTTTGTGTGTGTCCAGTGTGGAAAATCCTTTAGCCAAAGAGCCACTCTCATTAGACACCAGAGAGTTCACACTAGTGAAAGACCTTATGAGTGTGGGGCATGTGAGAAAGCCTTTGGATCCAAATCCAAACTTGATCGGCACAACAGAAGTCACACTGGAGAAAGGCCTTATGAGTGTGCTGAATGTGGGAAGTCTTTCAGACAAAGCTACAGCCTCGTTGAACACCAGCGAATTCATAGTAGAACAAGGCCCTTTGAGTGTGGCCAGTGTGGGAAGTCCTTTAGCAGAAGAGCCATCTTCACTAAACACCAGAGAATTCACACTGGAGAAAGGCCTTATAAATGTGGCATGTGTGGGAAATCCTTTAGTAGAAGCACCAGCCTTATTCAGCACTGCAGTATTCACACTGGGGCAAGGCCTTATGAGTGTGGGCAGTGTGGGAAATCCTTCAGGCAAAAGTCTGTCCTTATTCAACACCAGGTAGTTCACACTGGAGAAAGGCCTTATGAATGTGGCGAATGTGGAAAATCCTTTAGCCAGCGCTCCAGCCTCAATCTCCACCGAAAATTTCACACCAGGGAGAGGCCCCATGAACACAGGAAGTATGGGAAAACCTTTACTCCAAACAGCTAACATTGTTTAGTACCAGGAAGTCCACACTTTGAGAAAGGCCTTAGACCTCAAGGAATTGCTGTCTCCTCATTCATTGTAATAGCACTAGACAGCTTCTGTGAGGGAGCCGTCTGCCTGAAATTGAACCTCATACTTGCAAACATCCAGAGGGGTGAAATTCCCAATGAGTTCCAGGGACCTGTGAAGCTTACAGGAGCTACATTCCATGTTCTAAACTCCCCAGGGCCCTTGTCAGAGTTACATCTCTGTCATTTTCTCTGGTAGAACCCACCTCACCTCTCCTGCCTTTCACAGTATTTCATTGGTCACCCTGATGTGCTAACACAAGGCAGATGTCTGTGCTCTCTCCTATTCCCTGGAGGAAATCTTGAGTAGTCTGTGCCCTTACATTTTCCTATTTCCAATTGATTAAGTATGAGTCTGACCCTTCATCAAAATTGTTGGTTTCGGGCTTCCCTGGTGGCGCAGTGGTTGGGAGTCTGCCTGCTGATGCAGGGGACACAGGTTTGTGCCCTGGTCTGGGAAGATCCCACGTGCTGCGGAGTGGCTGGGCCCGTGAGGCATGGCCGCTGAGCATGCATGTCTGGAGTCTGTGCTCCGCAATGGGAGAGGCCACAACAGTGAGAGGCCCGTGTACTGCAAAAAAAAAAAAAAAAAAAAAAAAAAAAAAAAAAAAAAAAAAAAAAAAAAAAAAAAAAAAATTGTTGGTTTCACATGACATTTGTGGTTGATTTTCCTGCCTCAAAGTCACCAACTGGTACTTGCCTTGCCCCCCACCACCATTGCTCTGGTTTGTCCAGCAATAAAGGTCTTATTGTTTAATCTACCTTTAATCTCGGGGGTTGTATTCACTGTGGGGGGTGGGTAGAAAACAGAATTGGTCTGTTTGTATGAAGGGATGGGATTTCAGCCTCTTGTGCCTCAGCAGGGACAGTATAATGACAGGAGAATAGTTTTCATTCCAGTTTTAGCCTAATTTGCATTGCTCCCCAAGACCTCCTAGAAACTAAAATAATGCTTTGTGGTCCTAATTTGGGACCTGGAAGTCTACATATTGTATGACCACAGGTTACCCTGAGGAGGGGTCACTTATTTTGGCCAGCTCCAGGGCCTTTGGGACTGCCATGACTTTGTCTCATATTCCCAGAGGGTGTCCTATAATGCCCAGCACTGTTGAGGGGAAGTTTTCACCAGGTTCTACAAAGGAACCAAGTGTCCTGATGTTCATAATTCTGTGGACTGGTATCCCTCCTCACACTACAAGAGCCGGGTTTCAACCATACTTGGTAGTGAAATCCTGGGTGGGATTAATAGTGGAAGAGCATGCAGCAAATTAAATGGAGTGTGCCTCTTCTAATGTGCATCCATAAATCTTCCAGTGACTATGGCTGTGAGGAATCACAGACCCTCCAAAGGCTGTGTACCTCCTATAGCTGAATTCATTGTCAGCAAATAATCTAAAGGTTTTGTGAATTCTCATTGTCTTTCTGGGCTGGTCAACTCAAGTCCGTTGCTGTAAAGGCAGGGAAATGAGAACAGAGAATGGAGATCCTGTTGTCCAGGGATGTGTCTTTTGTGGTCCAGCCAGTGGTCCTGTTGTCCCAGACTGCAGCAGCCTCCATTGCTTGCCCATATTTCCAGCACTGATTCAGGACTGCCCTTCCCGAGGAAAGGGAAAAAATAAAGTGGAGTCAATATTGAGTTGTTAAACCTTCTGGTTTCCAGAAAGAGGGGGAGGTCCAGAATTTTTTTATTTTGAACCAATTGTTTTAGAAACTTTATTGAGGCATAATTGACATGCAGTAACCTATACATATTTAAGGTGTATAGTTTGAAATTTTTTTGCCATATGTATAAACCCATAAAACCATCAGAATCACGATATTGAACATAACCATGATTTACCTCATGCCCCTTTACAATCTCTCATTGCCCTTCCCAAGCCTACAGGAGTCCAGTGATTTACTGCCTTCAATAATAAATTAGTTTGCATTGTCTAGAATTTTAGTTGAATTGAAGTATAAAAGTGTTTGCTCTTTTTTTTTGATATTTTTCGTACTGCCTAATTATTTTGAAATTCATCAATGTTGCTTGTATGAATAGTTCATTTTTTTACTGTTGAGTAGTATTCTTGTCTATGGATATGCTACTATGTGTTTATCCATCCATCTGCTAATGGGCAGTTGGGTTGTTTCCAGATTGGTGTTATTAGAAACTAAGCTGCAATGAATATAGGCATACAGTTCTTTATATGAATATGTGTTTTAATTCTCTTGTGCCACTACTTCAGAGTATGTGAATGTTTCAATATTTAACAAACGGCCAAATTGTGATCTAAACTGGTTGAACCCTTCTGTGTTCCCACCAACAGTATATGAGAGCTCCTATTCCTCCACATCCTGCCAATACTCAGTATTGTCAGTCTGTTTAATTTTAGCTGTTTTAAGAGGGGTGTAATAGCATCTCACTGTGATTTTAATTTCAGTTCCCTGATGTTCATGATGTCCAGCATTTTTTTCCTGTTTATTTGCCACTTGTATATCTTCTTTAACGACTGTTACTACCAGTTGCTTATTTTGAAATGGATGTTGGCTGATGTTTCCTTTTCCACTAATAAATAAAAGACATATGTCTAACAAAGACAGGTGTTGGAACTTCACTCATTCCTCAGCAGTGATGTGTCATCTTTACTAAAAGGAAGTATTATTTTTGAATACTATCAGAATATTTTCTCAATTGTTTGTTGCTATTCTGGGAGTGTAACACTCCCAGAGGCTATATACTTTCAAGCGTTGTCTACCTTCCTAACATATTCTCCACCACTTTCGTAAGTCTAGCCATTCAAATAAACAAGGCCCATTTTGTAGAGTTTTTGTCAGTTTCTCTGGTGTATCTATGCCCATCCTGGACAATTTCAAGTTGCCAAAAGGATGGCACTAAACATGGATTTGGGAAGAGTGTGCAGTAGCACAATATTATAATGTATTTCCACCATGCTGATGGAGTGGTCACAAATAACCTCAGGGATATATATGAGTAAAACATAGTAAAATAATTTAGAAATGACAACTTTTTTTAAAATTAATTAAGTAATTAGTTTTATTTATTTATTTTTGGCTGCATTGTGTCTTTGTTGCTGCACGCGGGCTTTCTCTAGTTGTGGTGAGTGGGGGGCTACTCTTTGTTGCAGTGTGCAGTCTTCTCATTGCAGTGGCTTCTTTTATTGCAGAGCACAGGCTCTAAGTGCTTGGGCTTCAGTAGTTTTGGCACGTGGGCTTCAGTAGTTGTGGCTCGCAGGCTCTAGAGCGCAGGCACAGTAGTTGTGGTGCATGGACTTAGTTGCTCTGCGGCGTGTGGGATCTTCCCAGACAAGGGCTCGAACCCGTGTCCCCTGAATTGTCAGGCAGATTCTTAACCACTTCACCACCAGGGAAGCCCCAACCCCATCATTATTGATCAACTCATGGCCATTCTTGTTTCACCTGTCCTCACGCATATAACTGGGTTGTGTTACTTATAATCCCAACATCTTGTCATTCAATGCCTAATCTCCTCAGAATGTACTTCCAAAACGTAAGGACTCTTTCATAATCCTAATAACTTTCAGACAAAATTTTGAGTTGTTAAAAATATTTTTTTGGGACTTTCTTGGTGGTGCAGTGGTTAAGAATTCACCTGCTAATTCAGGGGACACGGGTTCTATCCCTGGTCTGGGAAGATCCCACATGTGGCAGAGCAACTAAGCCCATGCACCACAACTACTGAGCCTGTGCTCTAGAGCCCACGAGCCACAACTACTGAGCCCGTGTGCCACAACTACTGAAGCCCACGTGCCTAGAGCCCATGCTCAGCAACAAGAGATGCCACCGTAATGAGAAGCCCGTGATCTCTGCAACTAGAGAAAGCCAGCGCACAGCAACAAAGACCCAATGCAGCCAAAAATAAATAAATAAATAAATAAATAAATAAATTTTAAAAAATATATTTTTTTTCAGTGTTCAGTTTCTTTTTCAATTTTCCCAAAAATATGTTCGTTCTTTAAGGCAGTCAGATCCAAAATGGATCTATATGACTTTTAGTAGATGTATCTGGGAAGCCTCAATTCACTTATAGATACCACTTCATTTTTTAAAATTCTTGGGCCATTCATTTGTTGAAGTTGCTCAGTCGTTTGCCCATCAGGATTTGCCATGTTCTGGATTTGGGGTGTGCGTGCGTGTGTGTGTGTGTGTGTGTGTGTGTGTGTGTGTGTGTAAGTGTTCTCTGCCCTGTGCTGTGCTGTGCACGGTCCTTCCAGCGCCCCAAGTCCGCGCTGGAAAATCACCAGCTGGGGGCTCCCAGTCAGTCAGCCTAGCGCCCTGGAGGAACGAACCTCTCTCACCTCCCCAGCTCGGACTTGCGCTCCCCCAAGAAGCTCACCCCACCCGGTTCCCCGGAGCTCACTATCTTGTCCACAAAACGTGCCCCCTCCACGCGTCTCCGGAGCCCCAGCTCAGAACGAGGCTAACGATCTGGTCAGACATCCTTCATGCAGCTTCCGAAAATTCTGCCGGAATATGACAGTAACACTAATATCCTCACATAGTCCGCGAAAAATAATAATAAATGCGCCGTTTCCATTTAAAAAGTTGAACAAAACCCAGTATGGAAGTCGATTATCCTATTCTCTTATTTTGGACACCCCCCGACTTTCTGCTTCCAAACGCAGTGACAATCCTAGTATTGCTCGGGCCCGGGGGCTTGGGGCGAGGGGGTGTGTCTGCTTCCACCGTTCGCACTGAATTAGGACTAACATCAGAAATGAGGGTCGGGGCGCATTCCTTCCGGGACCGCGGCTTACCCCTTGCAGTCATGGACCTGTTTCTTCTATACATGAGACCCAGAATTGTTCCGGCTCTCTCCCTACACTGGCAAAAAGGCGCCCCCACCCGACCCGGGGCACAAGGGTCCGCCTTGAACACGTGCGAGCGTCCCGGGCGCTCTGCGCGGCCCCGTCTGTCCCACCCTGCATCTTCTGGCGGGCTGTACTCGGAAGCGGCTCCCGCCTGCTCCTCTCCCAAATTAGGTAATTCCCAAAGGAGTTCTACGTCAGCAGGCTTCACGGACGTTCCTTGCCTTCTTGGGGGAGGTCATCCCCGAAGTCGCACAATTTGGGGGCTTCACGGGACCCTAACACCCCATTACTTAAACGCTCCTATGATAGAGGAACACAGGCAGACGGGCGGCAGGGGCTGAGAGAGAAGCGAGGGCGGCAAAGAGGGCGCAGATGTGTCCAGGCCCGCACGCCACCCCTCCGGCGCCGCGATGGTTTACCCCCGTGACGTAAGGGCTCATGCATAAACACTGTTATAAAGAGTGGAGGCGGTGCCGGGTGCTCCTCGCCTCTGGGCTGCTATCTCCTCAGGCGGGGACTCAGCCGCCGGCCTGATGGGCAGGGACCGCGCCCCGCCCCGGCCTCGCTCCAGCCGCACCCTACCACCACACTGAATTCTTCCGGCTTCAACGCACGCCACGCTTCAACGCCCGCTACCGCGTAGCGTGCTAACGTGTGGTGTCCTCCCGCTGCTGCATCGCTTTCCGGGCCGCGGACGGTTCCTCCTGCTGTCACTCCCTGGCCGAGTCCTCCAGCACTGGCTCTCCCGACCATGCGCAGGAAGGCTGGGCTCGCGTGACTCGCGGTTCGGCATCCCTCCTTCGCCGGGGAGGGAGGCTGTCCCGGCCAGAGCATCCCGGTCCCGGGAGCCCTGGACTTGCTGGAAGCGCACGCACGCTTGTCCCGGTAAGAATGGTCCCTTTTCCGCGCCGGCTGTTTCGGAGCGCCCCGGCCCGGGCGCTGTGGCTTGTGTCCGGCGGGAGCCGAGTAAATGCGTGCCAAGCAGAGACTCGCTCACAGGACCCCGGCTCCCCGGGGAGGCGGCAGAAAGTGGGCGCCCTCTCTCCGCTGGCAGCCTGGAGCAGGCAGGAGGGGCGGGGAACAGGGGAAGCGGGCGGGTGGTAAGGCGGTTCACCAATAAAAAGCGAGTTCACTCGGGAGACTCTTGAGGGGCCCCTGCGTCAGTACAGAAGTCGGGTACATTTATAAGAACCCCCTTTCGAGCCGGTGTTGCTGAGGGAATAATGGGAACGCAGTCGCAGGATGGAGGAGAAAGGCAGTGCGCGGCAGAATTCTTGGGAGGAAATGGGAGACCTTCCATCCAGGATGAAGGGACAGAATTCTTGGGAGGAAAGGGGGAGATCTTCCATCCAGGATGAGGGGCATATAAAAAGAAATGAGCAGTCCAGAACAGTTTCTCCTCCCTCTCACCCCACCTGCATCCAGAACCTGCTTGGTCCCCTCACCTTTTCCCTTCTGTTTCCTTCTAGGACTTGTGCACGGACCTGGCCGGCTCCAGTGCCAACCTCATCCCAAGGGTGACTGCCATCCGGACCAGCCCAGACCTGCAGTGGCTGGTACGGCCCACTGAGGTGTTCTTGGTGGCCCCATCACAAAAGATTCCCCCACCCATACGGAGTTCTTCTGGCCTGGATGGGGGTTATCCCGTGAAGACCATGGCAGGAGGCAGAACTCAGGGCGTTGGCAGGAAGGGCAAGGTGGAACAGGTGAGGAGTCGGTGGGCACCTTCTCTCTGTAGGGAGGGCTGGGGTGGCAGTATTGGAGGAGATGGGGAGCACGTGGATAGAATGAGGCCACTGATGGAATTCACTACACATCCTGAACTGGCAACCCTGGCTCAAAGCCCTTTCCATCCCAAGTCAGACTCTGATAGTTCCACCCCAAGAAATAGCCTAATAGTTTATTCTTTAGTAGGTTCCTATCATGCTTGTAGACTGGGCTCTCCTTTCACTTGCTGAGGATCTTGTAAAAAGAAAAATTTTCGTATCTATTTTAATACTTTTGTTTGGTATGTGTATTTTCTTAAACAATGTATTTTTATGGTCATATAGTTGATTTACAATGTTGTGTTAGTTTCTGGTGTACTGAATCGCTTTGTAGTACATCTATCAAAATATGAAAAAATATGTAAAATATATACATATATTTTACAAAATTATATATGTAAAACATATTCTCTTTCAGATTCTTTTCCATTGCAAGTTATTACAGGATAATGAATATGGTTCCCTATGCTATACAGTAAATCCTATTGTTTATCTATTTATATATAGTGGTGTGTATCTGTTAATCCCATACTCCTAACTTATATACATCTTTATCCATTCATCTATAGATGGACACTTGGGTTGGTTCCATGCCCTGGTGATTGTATATAGTGCTGCTATGAACATAGCGGTGCACTATCTTGTCCAATTAGAGTTTTCTCCAGATGTATGCCCAGGAGTGGGATTGTTGGATCATATGACAGCTCTTATTTTTAGTTTTTTAAGGAACCTCCATACTGTTCTCCACAGTGGCTGCACCAATTTAATTCCCACCAACAGTGTAGAAGGGTTCCCTTTTCTCCACACCCTCTCCAGCATGTATTATTTGTAGACTTCTTGATGATGGCCATTCTGACCAGTGTGACGTGGTACCTCATTGTAGTTTTCATTTGCATTTCTCTAATAATTAGTGATGTTGAGCATCTTTTCATGTGCCTGTTGGCAATCTATGTACTGCCAGGGAATTCCCATTTTGTCCATTTCTCGATTGGGTTGTTTTTTGTTGTTGTTGTTTTGTTAATTTTTTTTGTTTTTTGTTTTTTTTTAAATAAATTTTATTTTTATTTTTGGTTGTGTTGGGTCTTTGTTGCTAAGCGCAGGCTTTCTCTAGTGAGCGAAGGCTACTCTTCATTGCGGTGCACAGGCTTCTTATTGCACTGGCTTCTCTTTGTTTTGGAGCATGGGCTCTAGGTGCATGGGCTTCAGAAGTTGCAGCACACATGCCCTACAGCACAGGCTCAGTAGTTGTAGAGCATTGATATTTGATGTGATATTAATTTCTTCTGCTTTCTCTGGATTTCTCTTTTCTTTTCCTAGATTCTGAAGGTGGAATCTGAGTTCCTTGATTTGACACATTTTTTTCTATAAGTGTTAAATGTGGGATAAATTTTACTTAAAGTACTGCTTAAGAAAACGCCAATAGGACTTCCCTGGTGGTCCAGTGGTTAAGAATCTGCCTGCCAATGCAGGGGACACGGGTTCGATCCCTGGTCCAGGAAGATCCCACATGTGGTGGAGCAACTAAGCCCATGTGCCACAACTACTGAGTCCACACCCTGCAACTACTGAAACCCATGTGCTCTAGGGCCCATGTGCCGCAACTAAGCCCATATGCTGCAACTACCGAAGCCCTCATGCCTAAAGCCTGTGTGTGCTCTGTAACAAGGAAAGCCACTGCAACGAAGAGTAGCCCCTGCTCGCTGCAACTAGAGAAAAGCCCATGCACAGCCATGAGACCCAGCGCAGCCAAAAATAAATTTCATAAATTAATTTTGAAAAGAAATCACCAATAAAAGGAATTCCCCGGTCGTCAGGTGGTTAAGAATCTGCCTTCCAATGCAAAGGACGCAGGTCCAATTCCTGGTCAGGGAACTAAGATCCCACATGCTGCAGGGCAACTAAGCCCATGCACCTCAACTACTGAGCCCATGCACTCTGGAGCCCATGGGCCACAACTAGAGAAGCCTGTGCAACTAAGAGCCCATGCACCGCAATGAAAAGATCCCGCATGCTGCAGTGAATATCCTGCATGCCACAACTAAGAGCCAACGCAGCCAAATAAATTAAAAACAAAAAAACAAAAAAGAAAACCCCAATAAACTGTTCCCTGCCAGGGCTGCTCCAACCCAGCCACCCTTCCAAGGCACTCACCAGGGAGTGCCCCTTGTCTGGGCCTGCTCCAGAACAATAAGCAGCTGTCCTCCTTTTTTTCTAATATGAATATTTAAAAAATTGATCAAAGGTATAGTATTTCTAATAGCTCTTTTAAATAAATTTATTTATTTATTTTTAATTTTGGCTGTGTTGGGTCTTCATTGCTGCATGCAGGCTTCCTCTAGTTGCAGCAAGTGGGAGCTACTCTTCGTTGTGGTGCTTGGCCTGCTCATTGTGGTGGCTTCTCTTGTTGCAGAGCATGGGCTCTAGGCATGCAGGCTTCAGTAGTTGTGGCACATGGGCTCAGTAGTTGTGGCTCACGGGCTCTAGAGCGCAGGCTCAGTAGTTGTAGTACACGGGTTTAGTTGCTCCGCAGCACATGGGATCTTCTCGGACCAGGGCAGGCAGATTCTAAACCACTGCACCACCAGGGAAGTCCCTCTAATAACTCATTGTAGATGTTTATAAGATCAAGAAGGATTGCTTCTATCCTTAGTTTAATATCTCTCTAACTGTAATAGCTATGAAAAATTGAGAAATTGAAATTTTTAAAAAAAGTTTCCATTCACAATATCATTCTATGTAGAAAATACCTGGGGATGTTTAAGTTATACGAGACTTATAAACAGAAAACTAAAAAACATTGCTAACAAAAATTAATCTAAGATCTAAATAAAAGAAGATATATCATGTTTATGAATTGGGACACTCAGTATGCCTTTCTAAAGATTAAATGCAATTCCAGTCAAAATCCAAGTTGGTTTGGGGATGTTCAAATTCACAAGTGGATTCTAAAATTCACATGGAAAGGCAAAGGACTAAGAATGGCCATAACAACTTTGAAAAAGAAAGTCCAAGGAGTACATGACCTTGATTTCAAGGCATATTATAACAACAAATTATTCAACACATGAAAGAATTGGCATAAATAAAGTAGATAAATGCAACAGAAGATGAAGTTCAGAAATAAACATATACATATGATTGACCTTCAATGAGGATACAAAAGCTATTCAGTGGAGAAGGTATTTAAGTCAGTATCACTGCAGCAACTGGGTATCCATATTTTAAAAAGAACTTCCAAAAATGAACTAAATATGAGTCATTTATATCAATAAAAAAAAACTAAACTTTAAAATTTCAGAAAGAAACACAGAAAAACTTCTGTCTTTAAATTTGGAAACATTTTTCATTTATTGATAGAACACCAAAAGCATAAGCAGTAAAAGAATAAATGCACAAGTAAGACTCCATTAAAGCTGAAAACTTTTTCTCTGGAAAAGCTACTGAAATGAGAAGACCAATTCTGGATGAAAATAATGTCAGATATTTTCATTAGAGAACCTTAATCAATAATCCATGAAGAAATGTCAAAACTCAGTAATTAAGATGACAAATCATATGAACAGAAATTTCAAAAAACTACGAATGAAATTATCACATGAAAAACCACTCAACATTATGTCAATAGGGAAATACTAGTTAAAATCACTACCACTATACACCTCTTACATCACTGAAGTAGGAAATCCTGACCATACCAAGTGTTGATAAGAATGTAAAGAACAGGAACTCACGTTCTGGTGCTTCTGGTAAGACCATAACAGGATACTACCAGTCTATGAAAGTTAAATTTTCACTTACTCTATGACACCTACTCTATATGCTGCTAGATATTAACTCAAGTGAAGGAAAGCTTAAGTCTGGAGGGCATTTCTCCAGTGTGAACTTTCTTGTTTTTTATGAGCCTGGAGCTGCCTGCAAAGAACTACACTCAAGGTTTTCCTCTAGTATGGATTCCCTGGTGGGCAATAAGACCTCTTCTATAGACAAAGGCTTCTCCACATTCACTGCACATATAAGGCCTTTCTCCAGTGTGGATTCTCTGGTGGACAACAAGACTTCTTCTGTAGACAAAGCCTTCCCCACATTTATTGCATGTATGAGGCCTTTCTCCAGTGTGGATTCTCTGGTGCTCAAGAAGACTTGTTTTGTAACTGAAAGGCTTGCCACATTCATTGCAATTAAAAGGCTTTTCTCCAGTGTGGACAGTTTGGTGCCGAACAAGTGTATACTTGAGCTTGAAGGCTTTCCCACACTGATTACACTCATAGGGTTTTTCTCCAGTGTGGGTTCTCTGGTGCTCGACAAGTTTAATTTTGACCTTGAAAGCTTTCCCACATTCACTGCACTCATAAGGCCTTTCTGCAGTGTGAACATTCTGGTGTTTACTGAGGGCAGAGCTGCTTGTAAAGGACTTCCCACATTTACACCCATAAGCCTTTTCTCCAGTATGAATTCTCTTATGCACAACAAGACTTCCTTTGTAGACATAGGCTTTCCCACATTCACTGCACATATAAGGCTTTTCCCCAGTGTGGATTCGCTGGTGATCAAGAAGCCTTTTTTTGAAGACGAATGACTTCCCACATTTGCTACACCCATAAGGCTTTTCTCCAGTATGGGTCCTCTGATGCACAAGGAGATTTTTTCTGTAAAGGAAGGGCTTCCCACATTCACTGCTCTTATGAGGATTTTCTTCAGTGTGGACTTTTTGGTGCCTAACAAGTGTATCCTTTTGAAGGAAAGCTTTCCCACATTGATTACACTCATAGGGTCTTTCTCCAGTGTGGATTCTCTGGTGCTCAACAAGTTTATATTTGTGGGCAAATACTTTCCCACAATTAGAGCACTTATAAAGCCTTTTTCCTGTGTGAACCTTCCTATGGTGAGTAAGACTGGAGGTGAGTCTAAATAACTTCCCGCAGTCGCTGCACTCATAAGGTTTTTCACCAGTGTGAACTCTCAGGTGCTCTGTGAATTTATACTTCTTACTGAAGGCTTTGCCACATTCGCTGCACTCATAATGCCCTTGCCCAGGGTGAGAGACCTCCCTGCTCTGCCTGCTTCTACCTGGGTGCTCTCCATCGTGGGAGGGCTGGTGCTGGGGAAAGCCCAAGCTGCCTAGGAAAGCCTTCTCAACCTCTCTGCATGTGAACATATTGTCAGGTAAAAAGACTTTGCAGCTCGTCACAAGCAAGGCCCCATTCTCCTCCCTTCTGAGGTGTTTCTCTCCACTGGGCTGCTTCTGGTGCTGTTGTAGGTGAGAAGTGAACATTTTCCCACAGGCCCCAGAAGAGGACGATTTCAGCCCAGGATGCACTCCTTGGTGCTCAGCCAGGTACAAAACATATTTCTCTACCAGGGCACATGTATCCGAAGTAAGAGTCTTCAGGATAGATGGGTCTGGATTTGGATTCCTGTCTTGTGTCTCTAGTTCTACAGAAACACATTGTTCAGAAGCAGGCTCCTCAGTACCTACTGCACGCCAACACCCTGAAAGCACAAAAATGCTGATAAACTGTATGGAGACGTTGGTGGTACAGGAGTCCACTACAAATCTGTGCATGACACATGTAGGTATAAGCCCATGGGTTTGTTATTAAAACAAGGGAGGAAGGCTCAAGTGGTAGAAGGGGATACTGTGCAATACTAGGGCTCTAATGGTCACAGAACAGAAAATGTCTCAAACCCGCAAGAATACAGGATACCACGATGTCGCACCATGCTGGGGAGAAGAGGCTAGAACAACCCACTCCTCAGCCAATC